CAACCTAAATGACAAGATTTTGGCAGCTAGTGACCTTTTTTGAGGGCATATGCGTGGCCACACATCCACATTTACTCATCTCATTATGAAATAAGCGTTGTCGAATGAGTTTGCTACGCACAAGCATATTTTGTGCTGCCTTAACATTAGAGTGCCTTTCCCTCGATGCCTCTATCAAAGAAGAAATCGTAAAAACTTCCTAGGTCAAAGGTGATGTCGTTTTGAAAAGCCAAGAATGCCACCTCGTGCCGGGCCCTGACTCCTGCCGCTTACCTAGTAAATGGGGTTAAACGAAACATTTGTCAAACACTGAAAGATTTCGGAATTACTGCTCATTCTAACTTGAGTTTTTCTGAACACATCGATTTTATTGTGTAAAAAAAAGAATTCGAAAATTGAAAAAGTTTAGCACACTTTTACTCTGATTTATGAGTAAGTGTAAGTTATTCAGATTTTAACTGAACTCACTCTTGTAACCCTGCCCAATCTGTAAACTGCAGCAGAAATTTGCTTTCGAAGTGCTCTACAAAGTGTTGATTATGATTTGAAAAGAACGCGGATTTCACTGTCTTACCGTTTTCTGTTTTCTTCTCGTCTTGCAAGTTGAAATTGGCTTAGGACACCACTCCGATTGCGCTCATACTGCTCCAGCACAGCTAGTTCCAGCTCACTCAGAGCACATTCTGACACACAAAATAGGATCTCTGATGGGACCCAAACGTGCACTTGTTTACCTTGGGTTGGATTCTCTTGACCAATTGAAGAATTAGCAATGGCACTGACCTCACCAGGTGTTATTGACAAAATTCGCTGTTCAAGCGCTGATCCATTAGTGCAAAATCTATGGCATTCCTCTAAAGTGACAGCACAAACTAAACGAATGAATTAGTGACTTTACGACAAAGTTACAAGAATCAGTGCTTTTTACGTATGGCTGCGACTAGGCGGAACAGTTCTCAGGCTGTGCTACTACGGCTTTCTGGCGCTGCTATTCAAAAAAATGGATGAATTGCGAGATTTTCAAAAGTAGTGATTTCAAACTCATAAATCGTATCTTAATGTCTCTGACCCATAGTAAAGCTGCCTCAGTCAATCTTAACTGAATAAAATTTCAGTTGAGGCTTGGACGAGTCAGCTTGCCCTTGGTTGAGCGATTGATTGATAGCGCCATTTATTCGATGATATGGTTGAGAACGCCACAGCCATGCAAGTATACGAATTAAAATGTGTTCGCCAAACACTCGCGTCTGTGGCGGCAGAGACAGCAATTGTTGAACCTTGTTAAGGATCTTCAGTCTGTATCTTTTCGACATGTATATAGATAAAATCGTAAGTACTCGAGAGTAACTTACAAAAAGTTTCTCTGCGTTCATCATAAATACACCATTGTTTTTAGTCGTCTAACTGAATGTGAACTGATAAGTAAGGTAAACGACTTGTCAGGTAGACTGAAATGGACGGTCAAGTGAAGTTTCATTTTGCATTCTTAAAGCATGAAAAAAGGGCGGTAGTCATTTACCTCAAAAAAATCTCGGATGAGGGCCTCAGCTTAGTTTACCTGAACTGAACTAGCTTTACTATGGGCATATCCTTTGAATTACTTAATTACATATAAACCTCTTCAAAACTTGGAAGCATCGAGTACAAAAGACTTACCTTGAAGCACCATAATGATTACAGGCGTAGGTAGTTTCTTCGCACTCATTTCATGAATACGGCTACGAATCAAAGCAGGAATGCGGACCACGTGATCTTCATGCAAATGATAGTCACAAAATCGCACTTCAATTTTACTGCAAAGAAATCCACGGCAAAATAAACTTTAGGTGTTGATCCATGTGAGAATGATCCAGTGTTCCTTTGTGTATGCAACAATTGAAGGCAGTGTACCGGCAGAAATTGAAGGCAGTGTACCGTTTTCAGTTTTCACCTTTTCGAAGCCTTCACAATGAGGACTCCATATCTGGATTTTTTAGCGCATGGAAATGGCGTGAATGAGTTTTCTCGAAGCTTTACAGGTCCGCATTCAGTGAAAAATACGCGTAAGTGGACGGAGTCCGAAACGAAGGAGGCGGGGCGTGGAAGACTTCGTACTTGCATTGAATGTGGACCTGGAAAGCTTCGAGAAAGGCTTATTTTTTTCATTTTCATGCGCGGAAAAGCCCAGATATGAGCTCCTTATCGCGGGAAACCTCGAAAATAACAAACGAAGACAAAATTCTGGCAGGACACTGCTTTTAAGGTATTCCCACGTACCCATCAGCAGTATAAGCCTTCCTGAAAAAAGCAGTACATGCTTCTTCAGTACGAAGACATGGTTTAGTGTTCGTCTCCTTTATATTCAAATCCGGAGAAAATTCACTAAACTCCTGATCATTATAAGAGCAATCCTGAAGTTAAGCCAAATTTGGATGTTGAAAATCATCGCTCGAACAGACCTCAGCGCTGTCACGACGGTCATCAAAATATTTCGATCTGGAGTAAACTCTATTACAACGGTAGTATTGCACTATGGCTCCTTTGACACTTTTGCTTCCTCTTGACATGCGATAATTCGCATCGGATTCTAGCAGATTAAGAAATTCCTATAATTTTAGAATTAGTTCTTTCGGATTCCAACTGATTAGGCACGACAGTACAGTCCAGATTCTCTATGCTTGCGCATAGATCTGATAGAATATAAGGGCCAAGAAGGAGGACGGATGTGAAATTGGAAATCATCATTCAAAAAATTTATAGGTACGCTCATAGGAGGACTTTTATGAAAAACCATAGAAGAATTATGTATTGGGTTTCTCACAAGTTTCTTTGAATTCGACTTTTTACTGCAATAAGCGATACATTTGATGGCATTTTCTTCAAAATTTTCTCATGTGAATCCAATTCACTTTTAAAATGTGTCACAGAGTTGGTTTCTCTTCTTTTTGCTAGGCATAGATAATGAGGTTCAGATAGGAAAAAGCGCTTGGATTAGATGGTGACGTAACTGGCTTTTACTAAAAGAGGAAAACAGTTTATCACACGGAAAAGAAAGAAAGAGATTAGATAAAGATGAGAGAACCT